TAACTTAATAAATTATGGACCATAACTTTGACAGGTTATCCTCCATAACGTGCCAGGTTATGGTCCATTAATTGTCAGGTTATGGTCAATAAGTTGATAGGTTATGCTCTAAATTAACAAGTTTTTCACATAACTTGATTGATTATGTTCCATAGCTTGATACGTTGTGTTTTTCATTTGATTTGACTTTTTTTGTTTTCTTTTCTTTACATTTTTAGGGTGTTGTTGGTAATTTTGAATTTTTGGCACGCTTTGCTTCCTTTGAGGCAAAAACTGATAGATTGATTGTTGAAGTTTCTTCCCTTCAAAGAGATTTTAATGAACAAATTTCTTCTGTGGTTCAGTCAATGATAATGCTTGGTGAAAAGTTTGACATTGTGTTTTCTTCTAAAAAGAACAAGCAAAGGAATGAAGAACAAGTATTTGAAGAAACAAAGGAAGAAGAAGCAATTGAAGAAATAAAGGAAGAAGCAATTGAAGAAACAATTACAGAGAAAGAGGATGAGAAAGTGGGTGTTTCTTCTGACAAAATTGAAAAAATAATTGCTTCAGTTTTGAGGGATCTTGTCAATGATGCTGCTAAGGAAGGCAATAGATTTGTTGAACAAATGATTGTTGTGTTTGATGAGGCAGCATCACAAGAACCTATTAAGTGTATAGATGAAAAATTTTTATTTTTTTGTCCATTCTCTGAAATTATTGATTGCGATGCATCAGAGGAAGACAAGGTAAGGTTTCAATCATGGTATAAGACTAATATGATCTCTAGAAAAGGGTGGGGACCCGCCAATGATGCACATTTGATAAATCCTGCTTTTGATTTCAAAGTTGACACCGTTGATTTAAAGCAGTTGTTTCAAACTTTATGGACCCCAAAGTGTTGGCTAAGTGACTCGGTAAGATTCTGCCATTTTTTTTTCTTTTTAAATTTTATGCAAGGTTTTTATTTGGAACAAATCTGATCATTATTTTTTTATTTTGATAGCATGTTAATGTAGCCGCATATTACTTGCGAAAAAGATGGTGTGCTACACAAACAGGCCTTACATTAGGTGCATGGTTTTAGACTCGCATTTTTTCACGAGGATTAATAGCTTATGGTGCTCTAAAAACTAAAAGGATTTTGATTGGTCTACTTTTGATTTCTCTTCACATTGTGCTCTTCAAGATTATGTATTGGGAGATTATTTATTTTGTAACTTGCCTTTTTGTGAAGTGGACATTCTTCTCGTACCCATTATTTGACGATTGTCTAAGACCAGAGAACGGGTTAGTTTTTTTTATCTCTTTAAATGTGTTTTTGTTTTCCCTTTACTTGATTCATTTTTGCATTTATATTTATTGTTTCTAATTGTTAGATTTTTTGTGGTTATTTTTTGTAGTGGTGATTGTGGAATATTCATGCTTAAGATGGCTAAGATCTTAATGGAAGCCGGATATGATGATTGTTTGAGAAAGCAAGGGGCTGTAACATTATTCCGCAAGAAGATGGCAGTTGAGTTGTTCAACCATGCCTTGCGGAAGCAGCAATTAGGCTATGAGAGTGATGATAACATGGGTCAAAATGCCCTAAAAATGCATTTTATGACGCCAAGAGATGCAATTGAGTTTGATTTGGATGATTATATTGATTAACTTGACTTGTTGGTTTTCATATTCTTATATATTTCTAGTTTTGATACATATTATATTATTTATTGGTTTTTTAGAGTCTAGTATGTTTAACATTTGTGATAGATTGGTTTTTAATTTTAGTAAGTAAACAAGTTTCAAGTTATTTTAGTTATGTTGCATATTTTTACATGTAATGCTCGTCCATAACTTGTCTGGTTATAAACCATAACATGACAAGTTATTGTCCATAATTCACAGTTTGTGTCCATAACTTGTGCGGTTATACACCATAACTTGACTGTTTATGGTCCATAATTGACAAATTTTTCATAACTTGTCCGGATATGGACCATAATTTTACGGGGTATGGTACACAATTGACATGTTTTTACATAACTTGACATGTTATTACCATAACTTGACAATAACTTGACCATAACTTGACAGGTTATTACCATAATTTTCAGTTCCAATAATGACACAAGTCAAAAGGTTATGATCATAACTCGATCATCATAACCTGACAGTAACTTGATAGTGTTCCTGCACTTGTAATTTTCATATTCAACAGCATGAAATTGATAAATCCTGGGTTTACATTCTTTTCATTCAAGTGTCAATCTCAAACATAAGCTAAAAGTCTTGTCAATAAATATTAGCATTCAAAAGATTGTAAGAATTAGTGTAAATCTCAAGTCATCATTTAAAATATAAGACTAGTTTTTAGAAACAGTAGTCATATCATCCAAAAGATTGTATTCTAATATCAACTCATTTTTACGAGTTTGGATCGTTAGAACTTTGGGTCAAGAGGATGAATGAAGGAATGCCAAGCTCTTCCATTTTTCCCTCTGTTCCTTTGCACGTTTTCTTTTGTATTTCTTCATTGTTTTTTCTTCTGCCTCATTTTCTCTTTCTTCATAATCTTCCTCCTGCAATAACAAGTTTTTGATTAGTTGTAATAACAAGTTTTTAGTTGTAAGAAACATTTTCACTGTATTAATGTAGTATTAAGAAGATTCATACCTTTTTGATTCCTTGAGCATCAGCTTTTCTCATTGCTATTATCTTTTCAGCTTCTTCAAATGTTCTATCCAATGTTTGTTGACTGATATCAAACGAGTCTGTGAGTGGAGTATAACTGAATTCTCCCTCATGTTCTCCTAGCTCTGCAGATACTTCTTTTTCTCTGTCCTCTTGTTCATTGAGGTACAAATTAGTATATCATTAAGGAAACATTGCAAAACAAATGCAACATCAATTTGCGTTGTTTCATTACCTCAAAAGCTGGATTATTTTGTATTTTTTTGAGAAACAGAAGCACATCTTGTTGAATGGTTCTCATAATGTTCATAGAATCAACAACCATTACCTTTATTTCTTTCAGATCATCTTTCATGGCTACTTGGTTGACTTCAAAATGTTTTACTTTGTTAAGCAGATTACTTAGATCAATTTCCATCTTATCCAGTTTTGTTGATGTTGCTGCTGGCATTTCTCTTTGAACTTCATCATGATTTATTTCTCTCAAAATGACCATAACTTGACAGTGATCTATATTATCTTCGTCAATTTGAATAATCAGACCTGCACTTTTAATTTTCAGATTCAATAATGACATAACTCGACAGGTTATGATCATAACTTGACCATAACTTGATTTTTGAAGTTATGTCGAGTTATGAATAGAGCCTTACTATACGATAGGATTTCAATTATAGTTGTAACGAGCTCTTGTTCTTAATTTTTGAATAATTACCTGTTTACAATCTTTTCATTCAAGTGTCAATCTTAAACATAAGCTAAAAGTCTGTCAATCAATATTAACATATTCAAATGAATTAGTGGTTTTTCAGTTAGTGATTAACGGATTTACCTTGTTGTTTTGTTAATTTCTAACGTCTGTGGTCCGTCTTCGATTTCTCGTCTAACGACACCGGTGAGGTTTCTGAGAGTGGCGGACGAAAGAGAGGGAAACGGTGGCGGATGAGAATATGAGATTAGTAGAGGGATGGGAGAGAGATGCAGAGGGAGAGAGACAGATCGTGTTATAGGGCCGAAGGGAAGAGAGAGTGATCGTGGGAGAGCGGCGGAGGGAAGAAACAGTTCACCGGAGAGCGCTGGAGGGGGGAGAGTGATCGTGGGAGAGCGGCAGAGGGAAGAAATAGTTCACCGAAGAGCGCCAGAGGGAAGAAAGAGAGAGAAAGAAGAGAGGTTGGTGAGAGAGAGAGGAGAGAGAGATGTGTTAGGGGTTTTGAGTGGAAAAGGGCATTTTTGGAATCTTATATGTATATAAATCTGAATATACCATAATTTAGCTTATTTATTAACTTATGTAAATTATTAGCGTATTAATTTTAATTCATCTCAAGTCTTGGCCTATTTCATCTTTCTCCCTAGGGTATATTTGTTTCATGGTTCTTCCTAGGTTCAAACTTATAGTTTTAATTTTATTATAGTATTTTTTTTTTTACAAAAATTTAAATTTTAAAAGTTATAATCAAAATTATTGATTTGAACTCATAAACTAAACACACCCTTATTTGAAATACGGCAACTTTAATAAAAAAAAATGACATATTTTTTTAATATTTCAACAAAACCGACAATAAACTCTGTACTCCAAAACGATAATAACTTTAAAACAACAAATGTTCATTTCTTAAGCTAGCATCATACGTCTTAAACAACATCCAACATTTTCTTTTAGCGCTTATTTGGTTTGAACTTAAATCAAATCAGGTGATTTGAATCGTAATTTAAATTTTAAAATAAAAAGCATATAACTTTTTAAATTTAAATTTTTTATTAAAAAAAATATTATTTAAAATAAAATCATGAAATCAAACATGTACTTAATGTCACACAGGTTAGGAAAAAGATTCCAAATCCGTACTTTTATTTTGATTTATACTTTGAATATTTTTCAAACCACACAAATCAAGTATAAATAGATACATTATACATCTTATTTTTATTATTTTTCCACAATATATCATGGCGTTATTATTATGATTAATAGAAAGATACTCAAATAATAGATTTCAAGGCTGAAGCAACAAAAAGCACTTTAAAATCCTTTTAATATTTTTAATTTGAGATAGTTTGAAAAAGAATCTGACTTGAATTGGGTTGTAGATGTTTATTTTTTATATTTATGTCTGATTTTGAACTATAATTTATAATTTTTTATAATATTTTTTTCTCATAAAAAATACATGTAAAATAAAAATGTGATTTTATTTTTTTTATTGATTTGAGTTTAAAATTTGAGTTTTATTACCGTAAAATACTCTTAAAAACGGTCACGTTTAACTTTGTTTAACTTTGTTGGTAAGCAAAGCGCAAATTATTTCCTAGTGACTCATACACGAGGTTGGATTTCAGATTGCAATGGTAGAAAACTTTTAGGTATGACTTTATTTCAGTGGCAAATAAGATTCTTCCCAATCTCATCTCCAGCCATAAAAAGAGAATAGAGAACCCAAAAATATAAAATACAAAAACAATTTCACAAAATAGAGAATTGTTGATCCCATTCTCAACTACCCCAGGTTTAACCTCTTTCTTTTTTGTTCTCTTCCAAAATTTCAGCTCTGCAATAATTTCCGATTCCTTCCTCTCCGATTCTACAATTTAGGGTTTCTGATCAACCCACGATCTGCCAATTTCAGAAACCCTAATTTCCCGAGAAAAGTCCGAGCTTTGTCAACGTCAACGGCTGCAGATGAAGCACGCGAAGAAGAAGAAGAAGAGAAGCTCACAGGCGCCGAAGAAGGTGGTCGTCGTCCAAGGGAAAGACGAGGAGATGAAGAAGGAGAAGGCGGTCCACGCGCTTACGGAGGCTTTCGTCTCGGTCTCTCTGCACGACACCGTGTCGGCTTACCAGGAAGCCAGAGGCGATCCCGACGAGGCGACGGAGATCTTATGGCGAGCCTTGTCGGAAAATGCCGACGATCCGTCGACGAGCTCCACGTCCGGCGAGGGTTCGGGATCGTCGGAAGGGTTTGTGGAGACCAGTTGTGTTCAGAATTTGGTGGGCGAGAAGAGTTCTAGAGGGAACAAGCAGAAGAGGGTGGTCACGGCGACGGGCACTGTGTCGACGGTTCTGGGGAAGGGGTATATGGTGCCGAGTCCGAGGAAGGATCTGAGGACTATAGATACGAAGCTGAAAGGTTTAGGTAATGGCGTCGCGGGCAGAGAGAAGGCTGAACAGTTTCTTTGCTCGATGCTTGGAGATGAGTCCGAGCTGAACTTGGCCGTTATTAGAGACGTACTATGTTAGTAACTATCCCTTTCTTTTGCTCTTTTTTTTTTTTTTAACGAAAAAAGAAAATCGCTTTTGTTGGTTTTTTGTCTCAAATTTGTCAACGTACAATGGAAATACTATTCACATGCCGACAGAAGTGTAGAGCACGTTTTAATGGACATTGGGAAATTAAGGATTTATTTGAGCATAATATAAGTAGAACAGTAGAAATCAATAAGGTGATCTGTGGGGTACTGATTGAAATATTCATAATAATTTTGAGACCGGAAGTTTTTTCTGGTAACGCTGGAGTTGACCCATCTTAAGCTTATTTCGCTGTACCATTCTCATGAATTGAAGATTCATATAATCCGTTTTTAAGAGTTATGTTGTTATAATTCTTAGGCATAGTAGGAATTTCAATCAAATTTGCATCGAGCACTTTTACTCTCTATCAAATGATATGTTGTATTTGTGGAGATTAGTTGAATGTTACGTGATACGATTTTTTTGGTTGTTTCTCCTTTTATTCATTTTTACAGGTCAGTGTGGATACGATGTGGATAAGGTACTGTGAGCATTGTGAGTTTGCTTTTCTTATTAGTTCAATTTTGTCCTAATTTATCCTTTTTTACTTCAGGATCTGCTTTTTAATAAGTGAACTGTAGTATCTGTTTATTGTTGTTACCTGTTTCTGTTTATCAATATCTCATGTAATTAGATTTATCTCTTCTTGAAGAATCTTGATCTCAAATCTCAAAGTGTATATTGCTCAATGGTGTATATAATCGGTATTAACTCGATCAATTAGTAATTATGCTAGTTCTAGCTTCTATCATTACTGTCATTATCAAATGTTTGCAGAACAGCTTCTAGTTTTTCCTGTTCAACAAGTCTAGAACTTTGTTTACTTGGCTCTCTAAATGTTCTTTTAGGATGGCCAAGAATAAATTTTTGTATCAGAACTTTAAGAGTGCTTTTAAATTTTTCTTCTGCCACAGAAGCATTTGATATTATTTGTATAGTGCAGTGTATGTTCATCTTCAATGGTATTTATATTCAATGTAATGTTGTTGGGTTGGGAATCATGATGATCAAAGGAAGTTTGGATACAATATCCATGGTTGTATATTTAGTCCATCCAAGGACTAATGTGTTCTTGTGGGTTTTGAAATAAGCACCAAGAGGAATACATTTATGAGCTGTCTAATATTGTACAACTTCAGTCGATACTTTTTGTGATGTTTTCCCCGTTGAGCATCCACTTTGATGTTGCTTGGAATATTCAATATTTATGTAAACGTTGATTCTTGTTTGCTTTGGACTTGTCTTTTTGGGGTTTGATTATCTTTCTCTTTTTTATGGAATATCATAAGGTGTCATCCCTTCATTTTCTTCCAACGCTTTTGGATTTGGAGTACCACATATTTAAAATAACTGTTTATTGCTGCTATTCTAATTGGTCGCCTGTACGCTTACCAGGCATTGAATGCGTTGCTAGCTTTATCATCTTCTTCTGATCCTAATTATAGCTTGAGCTTATACCCTATGGAACATTCTGATACTGTAAGTAATATCATTTATCATTCCTTGATTCTCCCCAGAATTTATTTGTAGACCCTCCTTTTTTTCGTTAATTCCACCTCTTCCAATTTAGCTTTCTCTAATGTAAAAAACTTTGTATATAATATGAGTAAGAATCCTGTAGCTGTTGCGGTATTCCTTGCTATCGTAGATTGATTAGCTTGTGAGCTTGTGGAGGATTAAAAGTGCTGATATCATAGTATATATTGCTCAGTGTTCCTAGATTATTCGTGTCATATATTTTAGCCTCTGAAATTTTTACTGTCTTTGGTTTTGAATTTCTTTTGTTATTGGCTTGATTAGATGTCTGATGATAGCGAGAATTTTGTTACAGCTGACAGATGGGGTCTCAGAATGCTCTTCGCATTCATCAGAATGTGACCTACATGATAGCATATGGTCTGTGGGCTGTGGTTGCAGGTAACTTCTTTCTTGTGTTTTGGTTCCTCGTCTTTCCCCTTAATTATTTGCACAACGTGATGTGCGTCTCAAGTCATAGGTATTACTTCTCCCAAAAAAAAAAAAAAAAAGAAAGAAAAAAAGAAAAATAGGTATTAAAATACTTCTCTGAATCAGGATTGGGAACATATGGTAAGTGCCTATTCATATGTTCCTGAATAGCCCAAGTATGTATGGAAAAAACACTACATTATTACATTGTTTGATTCGAGGTCAAATTTCAATCTCTATTTTGTTACATTGTGAACTTTGGTATTGAGATCAATGTCAGAAAACGTCGACTTTTTTGTTGACTTTAGGAAGAATTATGCAAAGGTCCTTGCCACTTCTGAAGCTCAGTCTCCTACTACCCGAAGGAGTACTGAGTCAGTTCTCTCTCAAAAGGTGTTGGAATCTTTCTTTAAGATCTCTAAGAGTACTGAATATCAACCTAGCACCATGAATTGGAGGAATGTTGTTAACAAATTGCAGTCATTGGGACCTCAATTTGATATTTGCACATCTAATGATTCGGAGGCACAGAATAATTATGGTAATCATGTGTTTTATTATGTTTCTTCTGAGTCATAATCTGTTGCTCCCTCTTATATGTTGTAATCAAAATTCCAGACTTTGTCTCTAATCCTGTTGCGGTATATAATGCACTTTTTCGCAAGAGTTTATGAAAGTAATTAGTTATTAATTTTATTTTATTATGTTTACTGTTTTCTAGTTGATTTTGAGTTATTTTCTAAATGTTTTGTTCTGAATTGCATCCTTTTCTTTTTCACTCTTATTGAACGGCTATGCTGTAGTTATGTTTTTATTTTTTTATTTTTTTGGCACTTGTAGCCAAAGGAGATGAATATTGTGTGTTTAGGAAAACTGCAAACCAACAATGGGATTCAGTTAGATCCTGCTATGAGAAAGTAAGGCTGTTCTGTCCACATTTTATTTGTTTGATGTGTGATTTAAACTTAGTGACAAAGCTCATTCTTTTGCAGGCAGCAAAAGCATATGCAAATGGAGCGAGGCAATATGCTTCATACCTTTCTGAGCAGGTGTTTATACTTTAAGAAAGAAACTTGTGAATTCAGTCTGTTGGATCTGTAGTATATAGGCATTATTTGTCTTTGCTATTTTAAAGGCTTTGTTTAAAAGCGGCTGTGGAGCCATTATTATTATTATTGTTATTGTTATTGTTATTGTATTAGGGGCATAAATTGAACTAAAATTTTGAAGTAAAACTACAATGCATTCTTTTTATCTTTGTTTATGTACTAGTGTTTTACTTTTCTTCTTCCAAATAAACGCCGCTCATAATAGTGCTCAATCCTTTTTAAAGTTAAAGAGTCCAAAAAGTTCAAGGATCCCTTAGGCCTGGGGGCAGCTGCCCATCTTGGGTCGCAGCTGCCCATCTTGGGTCTTAGCTGGCTCCACTCTAGGGGCATAGCTAACCTTGCGCCCAAGGGCTCCTTATACTTTTGCCCTCCATGAAAAGAAAATTTTAAATGTTTTTACTAGTTTGCTCCCCCCGAAATATTCTAATTGCAATATCTACACAGAATTCCTAAAAAATTTCAATTACATCCCATTTCTTACCTTTTAAGTATACTCATATTTCAAACTTAAAACCCCTAATAAAACGAAAAATTAATTATATTGCCATGTGAGCTGTTAATTTTTGGGCCTTCTGGTTGTTAATTAAGCGATAGTTCATTGATTTTTTTTTTTGTTTTTTTTAAGAACAAGATATAAAAAAATCTGTGTTGATCTCTTATAGGTTTGCTTGTCGTTAAGGCTAGAGATAAAACCTGACATGATCTTCCTTTTGGCAGGGGCAGATGCAGACTAAATTGGCACGAGTGGCTGATGAAAGGGCCAGCAAAGATATATTTAAGGCTAGGTTGGTTGGTTCGCTGCAGAAACAGTGTTGAAAACTTCCTAATATTTTTCTGTTCTTTCTCATAGAAGAACTAAGCAATGCCTTGTGCTATGCAGAAACAATGAAATACAAAATGTAATAACTATTGATTTGCATGGACAACATGTCAGACAAGCAATGAGGGTCTTGAAAATGCATCTCTTATTTGTTTCGTATGTGCAAAGTAAGGGTTATAAAATAGCTCTATTCCCTCTTTTTTTTCTTCAGCAGCCCTTTGCAATGTTGTGTTTTCCTGCTTGTTGACTATTATTCATTTTGCTTTGCTCCAGC